CGCAGCTCGGCTGTCATCGCGCGCGGACGGCGCCGGGGCCGGTGCCGGGGCCGGTACCGGTGCCGGTGCCGGGAGGCTCAGCGCTCGCCGCGCCGCCTTTTATGCCGCGCTGTCCGGCGGCTCTCCGCGCCCCGCAGCCCTCCGTCCCTCCCTCCATCCCTCCCTCCCTGCCTCTATCCATCCATCCCTCCCTCCCTCCCGCTGATCCGACGGCGCCCCGGCCGCGGGAGGTGCCGCCCCCGCGGCGGGGACGGGACGGACCCGGGGTCCCGCATCCCGGCGCCGCGCCGCGCACCGGGCTCCGCCGCTCCGAAACCCCTGTGAGGTGGTTGTGGCACCGGTGAGCACCGGTGTTCACCGGCACTGATGTTCACAGGCACTGGTGTTCACCCACACGGATGGGTGTTCACTGGCACCGGTTGTTCACCATCGCTGGTGTTTGCTGGTACCCGTGTCCACAGGTACCGCTGTCCACCACTTCTTTCCTTACATTGGTCTCACTCCTTTGCTGCAGTAAAGCATCTCTCCTAGCCCCCTGACACGTGAATGAAATGCATGCATGGATTTAAGGACCCTAATGCCTGCATTTAGTGACAAATCTGCACAAGGACAGCTAACAGCTCTAGGCTTAGCAGGTCTGGAAGGACACGATCAGGATCAGGAATGGAAGAGGTGGGTGTGCATGCAGGTGCTGGCGCAGAGGCGTTCATGGGCGCACAAGGGTGTTGCTGGGGATAATAAGCATGCACAAGAGCTCCTAAAGCCCACACTGGCCTGCAGGATGCGTGCAGACCTGCGTGCGAGAGGCACAGATGGATGGATGTGCAGGGATGTGGATGCTCGACCAGGAAGATGCTGCGTTTGGCAGCCCGGCTGGTCCTCTCCATGTCTCCATGTCTGCTCCCCGCATGCAGTAACTCTGCAGAAGTGATCTTAAGGAAGTAAGGAAAGTGGGAGAAGCTCATCCCAATGAAATAGGGGTTGCCTGGGGGTTTACAGTGAGGTCATTTCTCCACTTGGAGAATAATCAGTGTGTGAGGATACATTTGCACACAGCAAACAAGCCCTGTCATAGTTCCTAGCTAAATAAAGACAATCAGAACCCTTCTGACTTCCACAGTTCCTTGCAGAGCGGGATAGCACCTCCAAGGAGCTGGGCTAGCAGAATAAACCATAACCCTCTGAGGACCCACACAAGCAGTCCCCACAGCTGGATGCGTGTGTATGTCAGGGTTTTGAATTCACATGCTGGAATATCCAGCCTTCCATCCTGCCCCCGTTTCCATGTAGGACACAGACCACGAGGGCAGCATTTCCCTGCAGGAACCAAGAATCCCGCTCCATCTGCAGCCCAGCAGCCTAGTGGCTCTGCTGAAATGTTCCGCCCTCCAGCCCATGGAAACCTGTCGCTGGGCATGGATTTTCCCGCCATGGATTTTCCAAGGTCCAGCCACCTCTAGGGCTGGGATCCATAGCTGTGCCAGCTGGATGTCTCCAGAGGGAAAAGTCAGATGAGGCTTCACTCCGTGCTGATAGGCGCAAGGCGGAGGAGATCCGGGCACCCAGCGGGTGCCTGTGCTGAACTGCTCCCTCGGCACTCCTTTCCTGGTGATGCTGATCCCTTTCCAAGAAAGCGCTTTCCTTTCTTGGGCAGAGCCTGGCATGTAAGCACAGCGAGCCGGATACCCAAGCAGCATGTGTTGGTTCTTGTTCCTTTTCCTTATCATGCGTGTTAAGCTGAAATGCAGCTTCTCTGGCTGGAGTGGAGTTTGTGTAACCTGGTGTCCTGATGATTATCCTCGATTTGACACTATCATCTCTAAAAAATATTTTTATTTAAAAAAAAATCTTTAAAAAATTAAAAATTGTTTCAGCTCTCCAGTCAAGGAGCAGTAATAGGTCCTGGTGTGCATTTTGAGTACGGACGTGTGGTTCAAGTGGGAAGTGAACTATGGACAACACAGAAGGAAATGGAAGATTTCAGACAGAGAGTTATGGACTGCAGCTCTCCTCTACCCATAAATGAAGATGATGCCCTTTGCTAGAAAGGGGCTCGTGCTCTTCGTGTCCATGGACATCTTGTTTTCTCCTTTGATTCAGGTCCTACCCGTGCCGAGATTTGCAGTCTCCAGCTCTGCTTGTTGATTTTTAAACCATGCACACCGGATTTTACCCTGCACTTGATCATTGTGCCTTGGCCTCTCAAAACTGGAGTATATAAGTACCAGTAGATGCCAGAGAGTTATCACAGCCAAAATCCCACTTTCTTGGATCTCCAAGAGCAATTTCCTACCCATGGAAATCAGGTCCCTTAGGCTTCATTCCCCAATGACCTGCTCCTGTATTACAAACCACATCCCTGAGATCACTGGGGTGTGGTGCCTCTCAAGAGCGAACTACAGAGCAGAAACAAATCAGAAAGTCTCTTCTTCCTCCTTGACTGAACTGTAAGAAAGAAGACGTGGAGTGTGTGGACAGAGCTTAGAGCTGCAGCCAGGGCATCTGTGTTTGGCGCCACATTTCTTCTGCTGGAAATGTGGAGATCGCAGCCAGACACGGAGCCTCTATGTGCAGCCGTGTTTATAACCTGGGTGAGGACGACATGGCTAAATCTGTTGGCCCAAGAGAGGTGATGGTGACATCTTTCATTCACTTCCAGAGCATGTGTCAATGAAGAAGAGACAAACCATGGTGCTTGCAACATCGTGAACCTAACTGGAGCCAGTGGGATAGCAAAGCAGAGAGGTGACAGCGTAGATACTTGACATCACATTATTTCCAGGGCTTGGAGAGGGATAGGGGTAAAATCTGTGTGCAAGAATGGACTTTTAGCTGTCGCGTTGAGCTGGTCACATGGCAGTAGAGGAGCTGGACAGCAGCAGACTGATGGATGTGTCCGTTGCACATACACACCAGACATTCCCAAGCCTGCTCGTGTGGGAGCAAGGTTTCCTTCTGTGTTAGTGGTCTAGTTGTTTATCATCTGGTGTGTTTCACCAAGCTAGCATGTCTTCCCAACAAGATTCCTTTTTCCTTTCCTTTCCTTTCCTTTCCTTTCCTTTCCTTTCCTTTCCTTTCCTTTCCTTTCCTTTCCTTTCCTTTCCTTTCCTTTCCTTTCCTTTCC